AAGATGGTGGAGGATCTGGAAGGGTCGGAGGTCATCAATTTATGTGTTAATGTCCTAAATTGTTGTGTCAGGTAGGTGTATGGTTAATTAGGAGATGGTGGAGGATGGTAGAGTCAGGGGTCATCAATATACGTGTTAATTTCCTAAATTGTTGCGTCAGGTAGGTGTAGGGTTAATTAGGAGATGGTGGAGGATGGTAGGGTCAGGGGTCATCAATATACGTGTTAATGTCCTAAATTGTTGTGTCAGGTGTGTGAAGGGGTTGACGTTGAAGATGGGAAAATTATTTATTTTGTTCAGTATTTCAACATATTAGTCAAACATCTGTATCTGCACAGCTAATTTTGAATAATCAGAAAAAACATCTGTACGACAGGAATACCCGCAATCCCATGCATATTAATGTCATTTTTTGGCACATTTCTATAAACAGTTAGACCCCCCCCCCCATATACACACAAACCCAAAATGCAATGGCATAGCAACAATCAGTAGCATTCTCAATGTTTTAAAAATGTGACAAATTATTTAAAGCTCAAAGAAAAAATCTTTGTATTTTAACTAGATCAAGCTAAGACAAAGATTTCCCACCCCACTTGAACCCATGTTGTCTAAACCACATGTTGTGTGAAGAGAACGCAATGACATTTCAATAATTGATAAGACTAAACAATAACCTACATATATTTGTATCTACACACACATGTACTGAGGTTTTGTAAAATCAATATTAATAGGCCCGTTTTTAAACGTGCATTCGATCAAGTCCTGTGTTATTGATTATAAATCAAATCTAGGTTGTAGACCGTATATGGCTTGTCTTCAATCCATATGCCTGACACAAATAAAATGTAACATCTAAATCTACAGGTAGGTTACCTGTGAAAAAATTGTCACAAGGAAAATACCTTTAGGAACAACCAATATGGATAATGCATATCTACAGAAATCGTTTAACACAGTTAGGGTAACTGGAATTGTGTATTGATCTGGACTGGGTCCATCACTGGTGACCAGACAAATCGGTTGAAAGATCAAGATCATCCATTTTATAATGGTGACTGTGTCCAATTCCCTGTCTGGCTCAGTAATTTTGTCTGTCCTAAATATTATAACGAAAAAAAATACAGATTCTTCGCCAAAAAAAAGGGCAAAACCGTGATAAAAAATATATGGAAATGGAGCTAACTCTCAGCCTCCTAAAATGGTCTTATAAAATCCCTGGGTTGTCTATAAACATTCTCCCGATAAACATTGCATCTAGGAAAAGTTCTTCAATGATCGAAATAGAGTCAACAAAGTAATATACTGGCCTATAAACCGAATAAGCCAGACTACTGTACATACCAACACATTTATAGCTGGAAACTACGCAATCAAGGACGAAATCCAAACAAGAGTTCGTAAATCTCTCTAGTCTGACCTGAAATTTTATTTGTACAATATTGTTTCTAAGGCCCTCTATACTTTTTCAACAACCCATAAATCTGCCGAATCCAAGCAGCAAAATTCCATGTTTTATGATCAGATTCAATCGCCATAAATCTACCTAGTACATACAACAATTTCAAAATACAGTGATTTTTTTTAACGTGTGGTTTGGTTTGGTTTGGTTTAGTATTGTTTAACGTTCTATCAACAGCTATGCATATTTAAGGACGGTCTTAGCGTGTGACCTCATTATTGTTTGAACATGAAACTGACGTCTTATAGGATCACTGAATTTTCGCATAACTCAATCTTTAACTAACGTTAACCCCTAAATTCACATTTGAATCTTACCAAATAAATGACTGGGCAAGTCCAGTTTAAGTATGGACAGATGAATGAGTTAATGAGTTCATGTTTCAATGGTTACCCATTTCAGCATTTCACATTTTAAAATAAACTTATTTGTCCTATTAGACACAGCAAGACAATTTCTTTTTTTTGAATTAAAAAAAACATTTTTTACAGAAATTTTCTAATACTGCAGGATTCTACAATTTAAAGTTTTAACAATACAGTGTTCATTTGTACAGATATACATACAAACTTGTTATGTATTTCAATTTGGAAAATTGAAGCTATAGGTAAGCTGACATTAACTGCAACATAAAAGAACCAAAATGTTCATGAAATGTAAAATTTACATTTCATTTTTTTTTTTTTTAAACAGCTACAGCAATCAATTATCAAACCAGTCCTCTTTTTATTTTATTTATTTATCAAAATCTTAAAACATTTCCTCCAAAACATTCAGGCAATTTAGCAAACTTTTAATCTTCCTTAATTATAAGAGGTCCCACAAGGATTTATAAATGCTGTGTCAAATGCACTTCTGTCCCTATCTGAAGATAAACACGTTTTAGGGCCAGTGACTGACCTTAATGAACACGGGTCACAGTTGTTGCACATGCCATCATTTAAACCTTTTCTCTGTTAGATTATCTGTTGAGCAATGGTATTTTTTGTCTTAAGTTAAGTATTCAAATTTGGACTCCGGTCTAAATTTTCTCATGACCCCTGATGAGGTAATTTTAACAGTGCATAATACAAGGTATGTATTTGTGACATAACTATGACAAAAATGCAAAATGTCATCCATTTAACGTCATTCATGCATCTATTACTGAGGGAAGGAGTTACTTCTTAGTATATGTGTGTATAAAATCTCTAGTGCATTGGCTCAGCTGTCTTAAAAGGGCGTTCCTGGCATTTTATTTTTGTTAGGATTATGTTCATCTACTTATAATTATCTTTAATATTTAATAACGTTATCATACGAAACACCTCATTAAAATTTCAGTAAATGTATCATTATATCTTAGTAAAATTACCAAAGCTGTGATGTGCAGGTCAAATATATACATGCTGCAAAACTATTAATCGGCAAATCTATATATATATTATTCTGTAAATGTTGATCCATAATTGATTTTACACAAATGTGACACAAATTGTTTGTTCAAAGGTTGATCTCTGGGCCTTCTACTGGTGCCCTAGCTGTGTAAATGAGTCGAGTTGAAAATTATATTTAAAATTCATAAAGAAAGACAGTTTTTAAAGATTTCAAAGTTTGCATGCTAAAGTAATGGATATGAATGCTTTTAATTCTGTATCTCCAAGGAATATCAGTGTTTTTAAAACTCTTTGACAAACGTCATGTGCATTCAAGAATGAAAAATATTATCATTGTTCGACTCTATAGCTCCGATTTCCTGCTCTTGAATATTTTAAAAGGAATAACACACCTCTATGTGCATGAATGACTGGTTAAATACTGGAACACTTAAAACATGAAACGATGGCATGTTTCGTGTCCTCGCAGAGATTTATGGCTATTTCATGCGTACTGGCAGGACTACAGCATCTTGTCCAAATGTGAAATTTCAAAACATACCACATATTTTCCAAATATAAACCTGTAGCTCTTTTGAAATTAAGATTCAATGTTTTAGCTAACAATGATTTAATCTTGCTAGACAAATTGTTGAATGTTTCTGAAAAGAAGACGTCAATAGGTCCCGTACATTTTATCAGGCTGAGCACTTGATTAATCTAAGCCAAATGCTTAGCGCTGTTACCACTTAAATTGAGACCCCTCATCACAATCAACACAAAAACTCTGGACATTATTAAATTCAGATGATGTAGTTACTTATGCATTCATTTCAGTCCAATTTATGGATTTTAGATTTTTGCAACAATAAATAGACTTTAATGAGCTTCCTTCAATGATGTTTTTGAAAAGAAAAAAACCCCACCCATAATTCAAATTCGAAGTTCAGTGAACCTCGACAATAGCAGATTTTACCCTTAAAGTATATCTATTGTAATGGACACAATATGAATTTATTCAACCTCATTTCAATTCATATACATGTATGATTTCTATAATTTATAATGGGCAATAAAACCATTCTTCATGACCATTATATGTTTTAATAAAGAAACTTTTCCATCCACTTTGTCAATACATTAAAATTGTTTTCGTAAAATAATATGACACTGGCATACAATTGTTGATCTATAATCCGACTTTATATAAAATGTTATACTAGGGAGAAATGTCAATGTAATCCTGGCCAGAATTACTAGTGACTTCTCAAGTACAGTGTTATTAAACGTTAGGTCCAGCAAGTACTGCTTGACGTCGTCGTCATTGTCGAAGCCAGCCTTGGTTTTTAAGCCTCCCAGCTATAACTGATCCTTTGATGAGGATTAGGAACTTTAACAAAGTACTGTGTAGGTCAATGGGTCATCATTGGTCACTCTTAACACAATGATATAGACAACCATAAAGTAAGGGATATTTCTTAAAAATCATATTGCAGTAGTGTAATCGATAATCTTGAAACAAATCTCAATCAATTATACAAAAAATAAATTTCATACATCTAAAGATATCATGTATATTTCTTAATCCCACAATTCAATGAATAAGTGAATTAACTTATTTGAGAAATTGATATTGATTTTTTTTTTTACAAGGCTGTGTTGCTGAAATTTTTTCACATCAACAAAAACTTTTTATGAATTTTATGTCACCCTGGTAAAAAAAACTAAACCATTTCTAACTGACTGGACAGGGGAGGGGGGGGGGATTTCTCCTTGGCTCAACTGGTAGAGTGCCAAACCAGAGGTCTCAAGTTTGACACCCTAGTGGAGCCATTGAAAAATCAGGTTTAAGGTTCATTAACATTTACAACATGAATTTACCCCTTCAGGCAAACCGTTGTATATTCCAAAAGGAACGTTCATTGATTAAAAAATCTTCAAACACAAAAAAAACCCAGAAAAGACCTTGATTTCTAATTATTATAAACCATGAGGAATTTTCTAAAATCCAAAATAGCTGTGAAGAAAGTGTAAAAGTAGCTGTTTTCTTTGAAAACACTTTTATAAAAACCTTCTGTAACAGCTAGAGGGTGATGTGGATGGCAAAGTGTTGGTAACAGACGACCACAACTCTGTGGGGGTCACAATTATTACATTTTTCGGTTGTCATGGTGACTTACCAGATCCTGCTGAGTGTCATCAAAGGGAGCCGGGAGTGGAGGAAAAGGTCACGGGCTCTCTCACCTGTAAAAACATACAAAATTCTAGTAAATTACTTGTAATTGGGCCTGATCTACCTGAGTGTGAAACTGTCTCGTTACTAATCGGAAAAAATCACAGCTGACACTTTGATGGTAGAACGTTTTCTCAGTGACATTGCTAAAAGTATACATAATATTCAAATCAAATTTTCAAGTCATACATTTTTTATGTTAATGTTACAAATCCTTTTTCAATTTTGTTTCTGACTGAAAATCACACACATTAATGCTTTACAGTCCATACTTTTTCTGTATCCAAAGTCGGATTTTGGTGGAGGTTGTTAAAGTTTATATGACAATGATGAAATCTGAATGTGCTAGATGAGGTTAAAAAAGATATCATGAATAAAAAAGAACTTTGTATCATACGTTTCAAGAATTAATTAATATTATATAAACCAAAACAACATAATAAACATTAAGTGAAGTTTGTCAGATCTTCAATAATTCCAAAGAAAATTCCTTGCCTTAACTTTAGTGACTTGAATAATATTATTTTATTGATTTGAAACTATTGGCATGAAAACACTTTTGAAGTCTTTAATCACTTAAACAACTCAAAATATTTCACATGAAAACAAAGTAAACATTGTTATATATTTATGTTGAAATGAATTTTAATCAAAGTTGTCAGGATAAAGCAAAAACGTTACAACAATGTATTTGTCAAAAGTAGAATGCGTCTTATAAATGCTATTTTTTGGTATTGAAAATTTGTAAGAATATATCCATTTATTTTTGGGGATGATTAACAAAGGTCGACCATTATTAAATTTTTGAGGAACAAAAGTTATCCATGCTTATAGTGAACAAAGACCTTCATGATCAAATGAAATTGTTGTTTGGACAAACACAATATACACTCATTGTGACTTTGTACAAAGTGTTAGGCCTATTTGCACAATGGCTATAGCATGGTACATATAAATATCATATAAAAGACAGAGGAACGGTTTTCCTGTACAACACTTAAATAGTCAATCCCACACCTATGGCCACACCTTGGGATTATGGCCACAGCACATTGGTCAATATACCACTAATGGTCAACAGTCTGGATAATATATATATACACAACAGCCAGCATGTAAATCTCCTAATGACTATAAGTAGAAAGGTAAGAGATATACATACAACATGGTTGAAAGTTATCTTTTCTTTAGAGTCATAACTGCATTTCATTAAGATTGGTGTGAGACAGGGAGCTCCACTGTGACCCTCACTGTTTCTCTATACTATCCATGGATCATCAGACAGGGAGCTCTACTGTGACTCTCACTGTTTCTTTATTATATCCATGTATCAACAGACAGGGAGCTCTACTGTGGCCCTCACTGTTTCTCCATAATATTCATGGATCATCAGACAGGGAGCCCTACTGTGACCCTCACTGTTTCTCCATAATATCAATGGATCATCAGACAGGGAGCTCTACTGTGACCCTCACTGTTTCTCTATAATATCCATGGAGCATCAGACAGGGAGCTCTACTGTGACCCTCACTGTTTCTTTATTATATCCATGTATCATCAGACAGGGAGCTCTACTGTGGCCCTAACTGTTTCTCCATAATATCCATGGACCATCAGACAGGGAGCTCCACTGTGACCCTCACTGTTTCTCCATAATATCCATGAATCATCAGACAGGGAGCTCCACTGTGACCCTCACTGTTTCTTTATAATATCTATGGACCATAAGACAGGGAGTTCCACTGTGACCCTCACTGTTTCTTTATAATATCCATGTATCATCAGACAGGGAGCTCTACTGTGACCCTCACTGTTTCTTTATAATATCTATGGACCATAAGACAGGGAGTTCCACTGTGACCCTCACTGTTTCTCCATAATATCCATGAATCATCAGACAGGGAGCTCCACTGTGACCCTCACTGATTCTTTATTATATCCATAGATCATCAGACAGGGAGCTCCACTGTGTCCCTCAGTTTCTTTATAATATCCATGGATCATCAGACAGAGAGCTCCACTGTGACCCTCACTGTTTCTTTATAATATCCATGCATCATCAGACAGGGAGCTCCACTGTGACCCTCACTGTTTCTTTATAATATCCATGGATCATAAGACAGGGAGCTCCACTGTGTCCCTCAGTTTCTTTATAATATCCATGGATCATCAGACAGGGAGATCCACTGTGACCCTCACTGTTTCTTTATAATACCCAACTAGATCATCAAATTTGAAGACCTATTGTAACCTTTACTGGATCTGTAATACCGGTATTATTGATCATCAGACAGGGATACCAAATACCATGCTCATTATTTTCTGTTATACCCATAGAACATTCATTAGACAAGAAGACCCAAAGTCAACTTTACTAGCGCATATAGGTACCCCCATTTTCATCCTAACTGTTCCTTTCACACCCAAACACTTATCAAGGATCATCAGGCAGGGAGATACACTGTCATCTTCCTATGTAATACATGCAGATTATCAAACTGGGAGACCTACTCTAAATTCCCTGTTCCTTCTGCTATATCCATGGATCATGATCATAAGTTAGCAGATACGAAGACCAAACATCCCCACTGGCTATCATCTTACCATAGATTATTCTGACCTGCCTGCATCAGTACATTTCTCTGAAGGTCTTAATATGGACACAAATACTCAAGAGAAAATGTTCCATAACGAGACATTCTTGCAACAGTTACAAATGAAAATGGTTAATTCATAGAACACATGTACATGGATCAAAGAGGTGTTTATTTCAAATGTGTTTTCTGTGCACATTAATTGATATAAATGTTCTTTCAAGTGCTGAAAATTCTTACATCTGATGTCAATCAAATTATAAACAGGCAAGGAGGCTTGAGAAAAATTTCAAGTTGGATTCACAATGAATTAATGTTTACCCCCACCCTCGCATATACAAAGATATACAATTTGTACATAATTATAACTTAACTGCAAAAAAACTTAGATCTTTGTGTTTTGCTAATAAGTTCTTAAAGGAATATTTTTAAGGGCCGTTATATATGTGTGAGCAATGTAAACCATTACTTATAAATGTATGTGTAGAAATTCTTTATATTTTCTAAAAAGAGTGTAATGTATATATATTATACCAGGCAGTAAGTAATCGTTTTTAGGCTTGGTTAAGTATGTGGGTTTCCTCACACAAAACAATAATGACCCTACCTTTTAATCTCCCTAGTTTGATGATAAAAGCACATTGACAGCATGCTTGAAATTTCTAACAATCTGATAAAAAGACCTAAATATGAACAACAACACCAGTAATGTCAACAATCGAATTATGTGAAATTATAGTGTTAAACAGTTATAATAGAGAACTAATCTCCACTGGACTGATCAATAGCCAAAATATTTTGAACAGTCCACATCCAAACCCTACATTTGGAGGGAAAAAAATCATTTTGAATTTTTTTCTCAAGATAAAAAATAAAATAAAATTTTGAGAAAATTGAATCAAAGCTGTAGCTTTTATTTGAATTCGGTTTTTTTAAGGATATTTTTCTTAATTTTGATATTTTAGAAGTTGACCAATTACAACCTGCCAGGAATGTGACAGTTATATACCGGTATATGCCATACATTCATTTCATTTAAAGAAACTTCACAACTTTAACTGATACAAGCACAGGTATCATTGATCAACCACAAAAAATGTAAACCTACAACTATCTATATCTCCACTCCGAAACTATTTGGGAAATTAATCTATCTGGTTCAAGACCAATTGACTAGTATAATAAATATTCCCTGAAATGACCTTAAATGTCAAAATTCCATTCCTTTGAATTCAAATTTCGTTATTAAAAACTAGTCTTTCAAATTGTGAAATTTAAAACATTTGCAGATCAACGATTCAAACCTTTTAGAACTCAGCATGAAAACACATTAGTTTATACAAAATATGAAAAAGGTTGACATAAATGAAATAAGATTTTGCATACATGAGTAATTCAAATTTTTAAAAATTGCTTGTGACATTTTGCACCTGGATAGATAATCCAGGTGTGTAATGCAGAATGGTCCACCTTTCTTTTTCTCCTTAATCAAAATATCAGGTGTCAGCTGGGAGCATTTTTTCACTCAGGTGCAATGAATAAACATGCTATAGCTAACATCTTCATGTATTATTCTTAAAATGTGAGTTATTGTATTTTCACAATTTATTCCGTTGAGAGATGTAAACAAATTCATCACACATACTCTATGTGAGCAGGGTATCAAGTCTTCCCCACAATTACACAACTCTAGACAGACTTCTGTATGTGAAAATTAACAAAGGGCAATAACTCTGTATATAGCTGGGCACAACACCTGATTTCAGTATTTGACACTCCACTATTACAAGAGGTACTCACATACAAAATTGGCAATTGGGAAGGTGACAAAGTATAAAAAATATGCTCTGGACATCGTTTGGAAAGGTGACAGAGCATATGTATCATATGCTCCGGACAGAGAGACACACAGTCAACCAAGGGCCATTACTCTATATATGTAGGGGGCCACAAGACTCGACTTCAGTGCTCATCACCTATACCATCCCAAGAGGACACTTGCATATAAAATCTGTCAATTGTAGGTGACATAATATATAAGCTATGTCCAGGACAAAATGGTGCACTGATCATGAGAGACTGACATGTCTGACAGACTGGGTGCATGCACAGGTTACATGTACCATATATTCTACAAAGATAAGTTTGAACAGATTATAAGTTAGGAGAGGGCTTAATTAAGTTGTAAGAACTTGTGCCCAATCCTTTTTGTCATTTTCAAGGCAATAAAAATATGTTTAAACCAACAGATTACAATGTGTAATTAAAGAACACCATAAAAAACTACATAATGTTTGGCACAATTCTAGTCTCCCGTTTGTGTTTGAAAAAATGTACATATTTTTTCTTATCATTGTCTTCTTCTTATCTTACATGCATATAACTTAGATAATAAATATGTGCTTTCCTAAACAAAC